GGAACTACTCGCTTAGTTGCTGGCAGAGTTCTCGCCGTGACCAAAGCAGGAACACGACTGAGAGCAAACAAAAACACATTTTGCCCCTTCCCTAAACCCTATAAACCCCAAGACCCTGAACCCTAACCTTAAATCCTAAAACCTAAACGCTAAAACCCTGAACCCTAAACCTTAAACCCTAAACTCTGAACCCCAAACCCTGAAAAACCGTCCTGCTTCAAACAAAAAGATAACTCTTGAGATTCCAATAGTCGTGAAAAAAGCATCTTTTTGGCATTCGGATGCTTCTCAGCATGCGATCTTGTTGTGCATAGTGCTCTTCGAGGTCATCCTGAAAATTGCAGCCATGGCCGTTGGCTAGCTTAAGCTTTGAGGCTCATGCAGGCCTCATGCGTCTGCCCCTCGTATGGTACGGGAGGCCAAGTGACCTCGCACTTGTCGCATCTTCAGACAGAGGGCTCTGTCCACCAGCACCCACGCCATGCGATGCCTGCAGGTGCCGGGGAATGTTCAGGCACAGCTGGATATTTTGGATAGACGTCCATGGTGCAAAGTCCGGCAGGTGGCTCACGGGCTTCGCTTCGCGATGGAACCCGCGTTCGCCCTCAAGGGCTGGGATGGGAAAGTTTAGGGCTTAGCTTTTCGGGCTTGGGGTTTAAAGTTTGCGGTTTCGGGTTTTGGGTCTGGGATGGTTTAAGTTTGGGTTTAGGGCTTACCTGGACCCTAAATAACCAGGAGTTTAAGGACTTATATAAGGAAATCATGATAACGATTCCAAAAAGCTAGGTTCTTTAGGGTCCAAGTATAAAGAGTTCCACAGAGGCTTTAGTGAACTGTAGAGCTTTAGAGGTTAGGGTTTCGGGTGGGGGTTTTAGGGAGGCTTTAGTGAACTTTAGAGCTTAGGGTAGAGGGTGGGATTTGGCGTTTAGGGGGGATTTGGGTTTAGGGAGGGTTTAGGAAGGCCTTAGGGTTTGGGGTTTAGGGGAGTAGCTTAGGGTTTAGGGTTTAGGTTTTGGGGTTTGGGATTTAGGGTTTAGGGTTTGGGGTGTAGGGGAGTAGCGGCTGAGTAGCAGTTTGAGGGACCTATTCCTCCTCCTCCCAACTTAAGACTTACTTCCACAGTACACACTGTGGAGGGAATTTAGCATGTAGTGGCCCTGCAAAAACCCTAAGCCCCAAACGCTAGACCCAAAGCCTTGAAGCCCATAGACCCCCAAACCCTAAACCCTACACCCTCGAACTAGCAGGCACCTCTAATGCCAAACCTTAAACCCTAACATGTCTGAGACCGTCATGTCGTGTTCGTGACAAGGCTCGCGGAAGCTCGGAGTGATGTGAGTGAACGACCATCCTTTATTAGGGTCCCAAAACCTCAACAAAAACCACAAGGTCGGGATATTCCATATCATGGTTTAGAGGTTGAGGGTTTAGGGGTTTAGGGTTTCAGGGTTTAGGTGGGCTATCCCCACCCCCCAAAGTTGGGCGCCTGCGACGAGCGCAGCCCGATCTGCTTCGACGAGATGCCCGGTTCGTAAAAGGCCCAAGGCCTGGGCCCAAAGGGTGTGTTTTAGGGCTTAGGGTTTTAGGGTTTTAGAGTTTTAGGGTTTTGGCTTTAAGGCTTTAGGGTTTGGGGTTTTAGGGTTTAGGTTTTCAGGGCTTCAGGATTTAGGGGTTTAGGGCTTTAGGGTTTTAGGGGTTCAGGGTTTTTGGTTTAGGGCTCAGGGTTTTTGGTTTAGGGTTTAGGAGGGCTTTTAGGGTTTAGGGTTTATATAGGGCTTTTTCGCTTTAGGATCTAGGGCATTTGGCTTATAGGGTTGGGGGGATCTTTACGGGATTGATAAAGATGGGGATTTAGATGTGGCGGTTCTGCGGCTCCGGTTGCGTCGCGGGGCAACGCCCATGTCAGGATTGGCTTGTAATTTTGGGGGGTCTCGCGCAAAAACCACGTTGATTTCTCGGTGCAGCGATTTGTTTCTCGCGGCGACAGGAAGCGGTGGAAGTCGTGCAGGCGAGATCATGCGGCGAGAACGACTGTTTTAATGCACACCGTACACCTGCCCATCTTCGTGAGTGAAGGGTACACATCATGTGCCGTCATAAGGTGGTCCCCAGCTGTGTGCACTGCGTGAATCGTGTTTGTGGACGTGAGCTTATGCAGTTCTCTGGCGGCTAGATGCATGTTCCCACCCTAAACCCTAAACCCTAAACCCTAAACCATGTCATGGCGAAGTGGCTGGGAGGTGCCATCACCTGCAGGGCAAATGAGGCGAAACCTTTGGAGGCTGCCTCCTGAAATCTCGCATTCCTGATCTCCCCACACAAGCAAGCTCTACAGGTCCTACTCCAACCTTAAAGGGCAAGAAGCAGATAAAGTCGCTCTTCTTCGCGAAGAACTTCACACATTGCACGGATGATGCGGCGGTGTTCGTGCCTGGATGATCGTGCCAGCGGGTAGTTCGAAGGGTCCGTTCTTCGGGCCAGCTCTGATCTTTGCTCGTAGGCGGGCCCCTGTCCTGAACCCACCATGCGGAGCACTTCCAGGGATAGACGTACCTGGGCAAGAGTCGGGGACGCTGCTGGACCGTTCGTCACCCTGGGGCTCCTCAGTGCTCCGGCTCAGCCGAGAAATGGCCTCTATATGTTTGTCACTTTGGCCATGCCGTTTCAAGTCTTCGATCTGGAGCACTTCATCTTGACCGCTCGGCAAACCTCACAACCAAGCCCCCACGGCTTGGATGGATCAGGTTGCTCGATGAGCCAAAGTCGCCGTGTGTCTGCCTTCTGGTATTGCAGCAGTGGAATGGATGCTCATCGCTTGCGGTGCTTGATATATCGGCATCTGTGGCACACCTTCACCGCTTGTCGAGCGTTGGCAATCAAACTGAACCGAAGAACCTAAACCAAAACCCTAAACCCCAAACCCCAAACCCCAAACCCTAAACCAAAAACCCAAAACCCCAAA